CCAGATTTTTTTGCCTCCGGGACCCTAAAAAATCTCTTCCAAATTTTAAACCAAATTTCTCTTCGGCACACTGCCCTTATTTCTTTAGTATTTTTTGTACTTTTGGTACTTTTTAGTACTTTCAATACTCTTTAGTTCGAATTCACAAAAACAAAAATTTTTCTAGCCTTCAGGACCTTAAACTGACCCTCTTTCAAATTTTAGATCTCTAGCTTTACCCTATCGCCATGACACATTATTTGGTCCCACTTCGTACTATTAGTACTCTTTTTATACTTTTCAGTTCGAATTCTCATAAACCCAATTTTTTTGCCTTCGGGACCCCAAAAAATCTCTTCCAAGTTTTAAATCAAATTTCCCATCGGCTCACTTCTCTCATTTCTTGAGTACTTTTTTGTACTTTTGGTACTTTTTTGTACTCTTTATTTCTAATTCTCCCAAACCCAGATTTTCCTAACCTTCAGGACTTTAAAAGTGACCCACTTTCAAATTTTAGATATCTAGCCCTAACCCTAACATGACATGACACATTATTTGGTACCATTTCGTACTATTAGCACCTTTTTATACTTCTTAGTTCGAATTTTCATAAATCCATTTTTTTTTGCCTTCGGGACCCCAAAAAAATTTTTAATCAAATTTCCCTTCGGCCCACTGCCCTTATTTCTTTAGTACTTTTTTGTACTTTTGGTACTTTTTCTTACTTTCAATACTCTTTAGTTCGAATTCTCACAAACCCAGATTTTTCTTGCCTTCAGGACCTTAAAAGTGATCCTCTTTGAAATTTTAGATCGCTAGCTCAACCCTATCGCCATGACACATTATTTGGTACAATTTCGTACTATTAGTACTTTTTTATACTTTTCAGTTCAAATTTCCACTAATCCAGATTTCTTTTTGCCTCCGGGACCTAAAGAAACCTCTTCCAAATTTTAAATCAAATTTCCCATCGGCCCACTGCCTTCCTTTCTTGAGTACTTATTAGTACTTTTGGTACTTTTTAGCACTTTCAATACTCTATAGTTCGATTTCCCACAAACCCAGATTTTTCTTGCTTTCAGGAGCCTAAAAGTGATTCTCTTTCAAATTTTAGATCTCTAGCTTTACCCTATCGCCATGACACAGTATTTGGTACCATTTCGTACTATTAGCACTTTTTTATATTTTTAAGTTCGGATTCTCATAAACCCAATTTTTTTTTTGCCTTCGGGCCCCTAAAAAATCTCTTTCAATTCTTAAATCATATTTCCCATCGGTAATTTTTAGTACTTTCAATACTGTTTAGTTCGAATTCCCACAAACCCAGATTTTTCTTGCCTTCAGGTCTCTAAAAGTTATCCTCTTTCAAATTTTAGATCTCTAGCTTTATAGGACCCCTGCCCTCATTTCCTGAGTACTTTTTAGCACTTTCAATTTTTTTTTCTAGCCTTCAGGACCTTAAAAGTGAATTTTAGATTTCTAGTTTTACCCTAGCTAGAGATCTAAAATTTGAAAGAGGTTCGCCATGAGACATTTTTTTATACAATTTCGTACTATTTGTAATTATCTCTTATAATATTCCACCAGTCGAGCCTTATTGTGTCCACATACCCCGACAGTAACTCCCATTGAAGCTTGGGAAATTCCTAATCTAACCCTTCACCATGGCACACTATTTGGTACCTTTTGCACAATTTTTCTCACAATTTTCAAATTTTCCAAAAAAATAATTTATTTTCAAAAAAAAAAAAAAAATCCCCATCGGCCCACTGCCCTCATCCGCAAAATTGTTGAACAGGTGTTGAATAAATTCCATTACTTAAGGCAAAACTTAACGAAAAAAAGCGAAAACTGAACACCAAATGTGTCATTTCGGTCTATGAATCCTAAGAGGCTGAGGGTGATGAGGTGGAATAGGGTGGGGTGGAGGAATACTTACGACTTTTGCCCTTAGCCCCAACAGCAAATGCCATTGAAATTCATGACGATTTTTTGTTTCAATTTTTTTTTCTTTTTTCACATAACGACCCATCGAAGAGTTTTCCATGGAAAATTCCGATGATGATGATGACGATGTTGATGAGCGTGTGGCAGTTTCTCGATATACCCAACCGCATCGAGCCATATGCCTCAATGAGTGCCCCAAAGTCATTTACATTCAAGCAGAAATGGCCCAATGGCCATATTTTGGAGGAGGGGAGGTAGGTGGATACCCTCCTGCATTGCTGCATTGTATATGCAGAACGAGGAAGGAAAAAAAAAACATGGAAAGTGTGGTTACCACATTATCATCACCTGTGAGAGACCGGTGACAGTGTACAATTACACACACACACACATATATTCAATTACATACACACACACATATTCAATATTCCTCAAACAAAAATTGAAACCCTTACACACAGACATACTTTCACTTATGGGGTTTGGGAAATTCATAACCCTTTGGCCATTTCCGCTCAGTTTATTCAAGTGTTACATTGCAGGGGTGGTACTACGACTCCCCCTTCAGCCCCTGTAGCCATTTCTGCATTGCGGGTGATTTAATTCCAATGAAGTGTGTGAGTGTCTGTGTGGTCTTTATGGGTAGCAATTTTTTTTTTTTTTTTTGGAAAATACCTTCAAAATTCATTAGAGACAAATGTCCTTTGCATTTCGAATTAACTATCAGGTATTTGGTTTTGAATTGAAATCAAAGATTTTGCTTGTCATTGAAAGTATGGCATTTGTATTAATTTCCAAATATTTTTTAAAGAGAGTTTTCAAAAATTTAGGTTGAGAGCAGGTTTAAGCTGCATAAAAGCATTGAGACTTTTTTCAAATGTTTATGTTTTTTTTTGACCTGCTTGATGTGCTCCATCCAGCCATTGAACTAACATCACATGACAGCCGCTGTCCAAAATTCCACATCAATCCAAATGATGGAGAGAGATTATAAATGATGTCCGCCTAGAGTGAGTCCGCTGAAACGTGTACGTCATTTGTTCCAATGACAGATTTATTATTTTTTCGAAACACATCAACCACAATTTAATGTGAATGAACTCAGTTTTATCATTTTTTTCATTTTTAGACCTTGAAAAAATATTTTTATTACTAGACTGAAAAAATATTTTAAAAAAATCTACAATTATTACTAATACAAAATAATTTTAAAACATTTATTTTTAGTCCTTGGAAAAATAATTTTAAAAAATCCACGTTTATTTGTAGTCCTGAAAAAATATTTTTAAAAAATCCACGTTTATTTGTGGATCTTGAAATAATATTTTTAAAAAAATCCATGTATATTACAAGAATTGAAAAAATATTCTTTAAAAATCCACGTATATTACAAGAATTGAAAAAATATTTTTAAAAATAATCTAAATCCTTGAAGAAATATTTTTAAAAAATCCACGTTTATTCTTAACCCTTGAAGAAATATTTAAAAAAAAACACGTTTATTCTTAACCCTTGAAGAAATATTTTTTAAAAAATCCACGTTTATTTGTGGATCTTGAAAAAATATTTTTAAAAAATCCACGTTTATTGTGGATATTGAAAAAATATTTTTAAAAAATCCACGTTTATTTGTGGATCTTGAAAAAATATTTTTAAAAAATCCACGTTTATTTGTGGATCTTGAAAAAATATTTTTAAAAAATCCACGTTTATTTGTGGATCTTGAAAAAATATTTTTAAAAAATCCATGTCTATTGGAGATCCTTGAAAAAATATTTTTAAAAAATCCACGTTTATTTGTGGATCTAAAAAAATATTTTTAAAAAATCCTTGTTTATTTGTGGATCTTGAAAAAATATTTTTAAAAAATCCATGTCTATTGGAGATCCTTGAAAAAATATTTTTAAAAAATCCATGTCTATTGGAGATCCTTGAAAAAATATTTTTGAAAAGTCCACGTTTATTTGTGGATCTTGAAAAAATTTTTTTAAAAAATCCACGTTTATTTGTGGATCTAAAAAAAATATTTTTAAAAAATCCTTGTTTATTTGTGGATCTTGAAAAAATATTTTTAAAAAATCCATGTCTATTGGAGATCCTTGAAAAAATATTTTTAAAAAATCCACGTTTACCTGTATATCTTGAAAAAATATTTTTAAAAAATCCACGTTTATTTGTGGATCTTGAAAAAATATTTTTAAAAAATCCACGTTTATTTGTGGATCTTGAAAAAATATTTTTAAAAAATCCACGTTTATTTGTGAATCTTGAAAAAATATTTAAAAAAATCCACGTTTATTTGTGGATCTTGAAAAAATATTTTTAAAAAATCCACGTTTATTTGTGGATCTTGAAAAAATATTTTTAAAAAATCCACGTTTATTTGTGGATCTTGAAAAAATATTTTTAAAAAATCCACGTTTATTTGTGAATCTTGAAAAAATATTTAAAAAAATCCACGTTTATTTGTGGATCTTGAAAAAATATTTTTAAAAAATCCACGTTTATTTGTGGATCTTGAAAAAATATTTTTAAAAAATCCACGTCTATTTTTAGTCCTTGAAAAAAATATTTTTAAAAAAACCAAGTTTATTTTTAGTCCCTAAAAAAATAATTTTTAAAAAATCCACGTTTATTTTTAGGCTTGAAAAAATATTTTTAAAAAATCCACGTTTATTTGTAGTCCTTGAAAAAATATTTTTAAAAAATCCACGTTTATTTTTAGTCATTTAAAAATTATTTTTAAAAAATCCACGTTTATTTGTAGTCCTTGAAAAATGTTTTTAAAAAGTCCTCGTTTATTTGTAGTCGTTGAAAAAATATTTTTAAAAAATCCACGTTTATTTGTAGTCTTTGAAAAAATATTTTTAAAAAATCCACGTTTGTTATTAGTCGTTGAAAAAATATTTTTAAAAAATCCACGTTTGTTATTAGTCGTTGAAAAAATATTTTTAAAAAATCCACGTTTATTATTTATTATCGAAAAAAATAATTTTAATATTTTTTAAATTTGAATTTTTTAAATCCACGTCTCTCTGACATTTGTTTGTTTTCCTTTTTCAATTTATTTTCAGTTCATCGAAAACATTTCCCCTGCCCTGCCAAACAATAACATCACCACCCACAACAATCTTTGGCACGTGCCCCACAAATGGATAGACCACCACCATCAATGGCGGACAACATATTGGATCGAGAACTATCTTCTCCAATTGCTACAAATCAATATCAGCAGCAACAACAACGCCAACCACGACCAGAAAAAGATGACACAGATTTCGGCAATGGCCGCTCAGCCACAAATGAAATACCATCACGTACCGGCACTGTCGCCGCCAGTAGTCCATGTCAATATGAAAAGCGTGAACGAGTTGTCATTACCAAAAATGTTATCGTTATTGGTCTGGCGTTTATGATACACTTCACAGCGTTCCATGGCACCTCGAATCTCCAGAGTTCGGTAAATTCCGATAAGGCATTGGGCACCACAACGTTGGCTGTCATTTATGGGTCATTAATTCTGTCGAATATATTCCTGCCAATGTCGGTGATAAGGTGAGTTGGGCAAAAAAAAAATCATTTTATCAGAAACTAATCCTTGAAAAAGGATAACAAATTTAAATCTCGGAATTTTTTTATTTTCATGCCATGCAGAAAAATCCCTCCACACCTCCTTCCCTCATACGTAACATAAATGTCACAAGAAATTTTAATAATATTTCAAAATTGTCTCTTTAAAATGGGACAAGCCACTTCCCATTTTTATGGACATATCTGTCATAAACACAAATTCTGCATAACCTCAAAAATTTTTTTTTTTTCAAAAATTTTATGTTTTCCCAAAAATGTGGATGTCAAATTTTTTTGACACATGCCACAAAAATAGAACACCATAAAAATAAAATAAAACAAAATTTATAACTTCATGACATGACCCTGAAAACGACCACAGTGGCATCATATATTTCCTGGCAAAGGAGACAAATCTCTTGTCAAATCCAAAGCATACTTGTAGGCGAACGAACAAAAAAAACATAAATTAAATTGCTTTGTTTCTTCATAAACTCCACTTCCCCCGGAATTTAATGTTTTCCAAATGCCCATTTATTGTCCAATGAAAAGTCATTTGCAAGAAAACAAATTTTTTAATGTTCAAAGCCAATGCCCCCTTAAGTATGCAATTAAAATGAAACCCTTTTTTGTTGGGGATTTCATCATCGGCGTAACCAAATCTACAAAATGAAAGCCATTAAAGCTTTTTCTTGGGTCTAACTTTTGTTTTTGTCGGGGTTTCTTGGGCAACATGAAAAAAAAATTAAATAAATGCAAGAATTAATGGCTGTTTTCTAGTCAACCCCTTAAAGTATGCTGTAATTTATGGCCAAAATTGACCCAAAAAAAAGTATTGAATGAAGACAAATAGAACTTTAATTGCCCGGCGATCATTTGTTTATTTAAATGAGATAAAAAATAAGGAAAATTTGTATTAAGCTATTTAATTGAAGAGATATTTTGAAAACAAAAAATAAATGAAAATGAAATATTGAGATTTTTGGGTAGGCCTTGAGGATTTTTTTTAAGTCCATATTTTTTATATTCACATTTTAAAGTTTTCATTGAAATAATTACTTTCTTCTGGATTTTAAGGTAGTCCTTGAAAAGGCGATCGGTCTTGAAAATAATTTTTAAAGACACACACGTTTATTGCTAGTTTTAAAAATTATTAAAAAAATCCACGTTTATTACTTGTCTTCAAAAATTATTTTTTTTGAAAATCCACGTTTATTGCTAGATTTGAAAAATATTTTTTTTTAAAATTCCCCATTTATTACTTATCTTGATTTTTTTAAATCCACGTTCTTTACTAATCTTAAAAAAGTATTTTTTTTTTTAATCCACGTTCATTACTATTCTTGAAAAATTATTCTTTTTAAATCCACGTTCATTACTAATATTGAAAAATATATATTTTTTAAATTCTATATTTGAAAAAAAAAAAAAAAAAATATTTCAAAAGATCTACGTTTATTACTAGCCTTGAAAATTTCTCTTTTAAAAATTCACGTTTATTATCAGTCTTTAAAAATTATTTTTTAAAAAATCTATGTTCATAACTAATTTTGAAAATTTATTTTTTTTAAAATCCACGTTTACTGTTAGTCTTGAAAACGTTTACTGTTAGTCAAAAAATCACGTTTACTGTTAGTCTTGAAAACGTTTACTGTTAGTCAAAAAATTCACGTTTATTATTAGTCTCGAAAAAATATATTGTTTTTAAAAAATTTTCGTCTATTACTAGTCTTAAAAATTATTTTTAAAAAATCCACGGTTATTACTAGTATTAAAAATAATTTTTAATAAATCAACGTTTATTACTAGTCTTAAAAATAATTTTTACAAAATCTACGTTTATTACTAGTCTTAAAAAATTATTTTTTATAAAATCCACGTTCATTATTAGTCTTGAAAAAATATTTTTTAAAAAATCCACGTTCATTATTAGTCTTGAAAAAATATTTTTTTAAAAAAATCACGTTTATTATTAGTCTTGAAAAAATATATTTTTTTAAACCCACATTTATTACTGGTCTTGAAAAATATTTTCTTAAACCCACATTACCCACATACTGGTCTTGAAAAATATTTTTTTTTAATCCACGTTTATTACTAGTCTTGAAAAAAATATTTTTAAAAAATCCATGTTTATTACTAGTCTTGAAAAAAATATTTTTAAAAAATCCATGTTTATTACTAGTCTTGAAAAAAATATTTTTAAAAAATCCACGTTTATTACTAGTCTTGAAAAAATATTTTTTTAAAAAAATTCAGATTTATGATTAGTCTTGAAAAATTATTTTTAAAAAAATCCACGTTTATTACTTGTCTTGAAAAAATATTTTTAAAAAATCCACGTTTATTACTAGTCTTGAAAAAAATATTTTTAAAAAATCCACGTTTATTACTACTCTTGAAAAAAATATTTTTAGAAAAATCCACGTTTATTACTAGTCTTGAAAAAAATATTTTAAAAAAATCCACGTTTATTACTAGTCTTGAAAAAAATATTTTTAAAAAATCCCTTCTATTTAGACTAACAAAAAAAAATATTTTTAGAAAATCTATTAAGACTCGCAAAAAAATATTTTAAAAAAATACACGTCTATTAGGACTCACGAAAAAATATTTTTTAAAAAATCCACGTCTACTTGGACTCGTGAAAAAAAATATTTTTATAAAAAACCTAAGTCTATTTAGACTTAAAAAAAATATTTTTAAAAAAGTCCACGTCTATTTAGATTCATGAAAAAAATATTTTTAAAAATCCACGTCTATTGAGACTCACAAAAAAATATTTTTAAAAAATCCATGTCCAAAAATAAAAAAAAATATTTAAAAAAAATATTTTTAAAAAAATCCACGTTTATTACTAGTCTAGAAAAATTAATTTCAAAAAATCCACGTTTATTACTAGTCTCTATTCCAAGAAGTTAATTGAAAAAGTATTTAAAAACACCCTTATAGCTGATGTCTGAAAAAATCCACGAAAATTCATGACTTTTTGAAACATGTTTTAAATTTATTTAAAAAAAAAAAAATTTTTGGAAGTCCTTGGAAATAGTGTTTTTTATTAAACCACTTTTACAAAATATTTCCAAAAAATCCCCTTTTCTAGAATATTACTTAAAAAATGTTCAAGACATTATCCTTCCTAATTGTCCCAGTAATTGTGAATTCTTAGCCTAAAAGTGTGCTACAATAATACCATTTTATGTTTCTCTCCCATCATGAATTCATAAGTAGGCAATGAAATGATCCCACATTCGCACGCCTCAACATATGCTCTAGAAACTTTAAAATAAAATCAAATATCAATCGACTTCGATTGCCAATAACACTAGCCTAAAATGGCAAAAATATAAAAATTGCCTATTAACCTATCGAACTATTATTGTGTGGCTTTTATGGCCAGAAAGGCACGTTGCCATATTGAGACATTACTACTGCCTTGGCAATGCCACAAAACAAAATCGTCCTTAAGAGCAAATCAAACATTTAGAGACGATATAAAATCATAAAACTAAAATTTTATTGTTATTGCTTTTTTCAATAAACTGTTAAGCCTCCAAGAGAGAACGACTGGAGTTCGATAGGGGAGGAAAGGGAAGGGGAGCGCACGGAAAATCCTATTAAAAGCTTTTTTGTTTGCCAACAACAGAGAAAATAACACTTCAGTCTTAGACAACGATTGGCTGGGAATATTAACTTCTATCAAATTTGGTAAATGTTGTAATGAACAACAACAACAAAAACAAAAAGAACACAGCGCTCTCAAATATCTTCACAGAAATTCAGAGTATCTATTTCATCATATTTCGTGGGAGGGGAGTAGGAGGAGGATGGCAAAATTTATGCGCATATTTATGAGCTGCGAAGCCAATGTTGATGAAAACTAATATTTGTGGGCCATGGCTAAAAGGGGTCGTCTCACCAAGGAGTCAAAGCAAACACTCCCACGCCTCCTCTTTTGTTATTGCATAAATAGAGATTGTGTTTTTTTTTTTCATCTCTAATAAACATGCCATAGCATACTTTTAGGCACAACACCACATCTATGTCTGTGCCAATATTGGCCGGGGCACAAAATTGAAGCTGTGCGCAAAGAAAGGTCATATTTATATTTGCCATCTCGAAAAGAAGATTTCTTTAATTTAGATTTATTAGATCGACAAAAGCAACATGCTTTGTCATGCACAAAAGAAGGAAATTAAGTTAAATATCCGTAGAATATTTGCGTTGACAAATTCCTGTGAATGGGGAGAGAAAGCTATTGAAATGTCTTGGGCTTGTGTTCAGTTCTGAGCTGAGGCTCAGGAAATTCTATTTTATGGCGAACAATATGTGAGCAAATTTCCTTTGCAAATTATACTACTCTTAATGGAATTTCCGTTGAGACGAGAAAATTGGGAACAGTTCTGGGGAAAATATCTAAGAGAAGAAGGGTTACAATACCGAGAAGTTCACTAGGTATTGACAAAAGAATTTTGGTTATAAATAAAAGCATTTCAATGTAGTTTATTAGAGAGATGATGGGGGTTGAAATATTGATCCCAATGATGTATAATCAAATAAAAATAATAATCTGCTGCTTATATCACAACACCTAAAAATATGCTTTTTTATAGCAGTTTATTTAATTAATTTAAAAATATTTTCCATAAAAAATATTTGAAAATCAAGGTTTTCAAATGATTTTTGATAAAAAATTTAATTAAATCCATTCTTCTAGATAGCCAAGAAAAAAATATTTTTTTAAAAATCCATTCTTCTAAATAGACCCGGAAATAAAATTAAAAAAAATGCACTGAGATAATCGTAAAAAAATATTTTAATTGTACTAAAACATGTGTTGTTCGAGCTTGAGGTCTTTGTTGAGCTCGAACAACACTTTTAATAAAAAATATAAAAAGGCTGAATGAAAGAAAAATATTAATTGTATTTTAATTTAAAAAAACTACGCTTTTAGATTATTTTGGAGAATTATTTTTTTAAAAATC